TAAAAAGTTGAAAGATGAAAACTAAAAATATTAAAAAGGTTAAAAGTGAAAAATAAAATAAATAAATTTTAATTATTTTATTGTATTATATAGGTGGGGTATAGAAAATGTAGAGGAAAAGAAATAGGAGTTGGAGGGGTTAGAAAACCCCATTAAAAACTACAACACACACTCGCTGTATATTCATCCATCATTTTCCCTTTCCCTCTGTGTGTGTGTCTTCGTGTGTGTGTTTCTAGAGAATTAAGAAAGCCATGGAAACAGTTGAAGTAAGCTTAGTTATCGCCATGCTAAACCACTCTTTAACCCTAATCTTTACCAACAAACTCACCATTTTCCTCACCCTAATAACCTCCTTCATCCTCCGCCGCATCTTCCACAACATCCGCTGCCGCCGCCGCTTCCCCATCATCGTCTTAAAGCCTTGTTCAGACAAGACGGGAGGAAGAGGGTCGACCAAAGCAGTATACTGTGCCGTCTGTCTGCACCATGTCGCCGGAGGGGAACGCTACCGGAAACTGCCGCTGTGCCACCACTGCTTCCATGTGGAGTGCATCGACCCGTGGTTTGAGTTGAAGTCTACGTGCCCATTGTGTCGAAGTCAGCTCCCCCTCAATCTTCTTCCTCCGCGGACTCAACAGGAACCACCCAGTTTTGTCGCCATGGCTCTTAAGTTTTCTGTAAATGCTGTCCATGATAAGATCAAATGTAGGCTTTCTAGAATTAAAATTAAATTAAATTGGATGTAAAATTATGATTACTTTGAATTCAGTTTGGATGTATAATTTATGGTTAGTAGCTAATTAGCACTCAAAATTACGATATTAATTAGAAAATTTTGGTTTACGTTAATCGGCATTATCGATCGGTATCTTCTAATTAACGATTCATAAAAGAGTTATTCTGAAATCTTACACTCAAATGAACTTGTTCACTATAACAAAATTGGGTTTATAGGACACCCTCAATCTCTAAGCGTCCCAATAGACTGCTTGATATGACTTAATTTATAGGACCAAAATATAAAGCGTTCTATCTAAAGGTTTTGTAATAAGTTTATATGACGCTTTTGGACGTCTTAACATGTTTTTTAGGATATTTTTAATACAAAGTGTCGCATTAGCAACTTTATAGGATACTTTTGAGAAAATGTCCTATAAACTCAATTTTTATAGGACATTTGCTTTTATAAGATAGTTTTTCGAATAGTGTCCTATAAATTTGCTAATGAGACGCTTTATATTAAAAGTGTCCTAAAAAACTTATTATAACGTCAAAAAACGTCATATAAACTTACTACAACGTCTTTAGATATAACGCTTTATTTTTTTGGTCCTATAAACTAAGTCTTATAAAGAGGTCTATTAAAATGCTTAAAAATTGGAAGTGTCCAATAAACCTAAATTTGTTATATTGTGTTGTATGTGTTTTATAATAACTAAATTAAGCAATATTTATTGCGTTTCAGAAGAAAAAAAAAATTATGCATTATTATTACATTCATGCACAAGACAAGTATATTTTACTTTTTAATTTTGCACAAAAAATAGTTATAATTTTTATTTTGGCAAAAAGGAATCGTAGAATAATTCGATTAAATGCATCTCATGGTGAATAGAAAATTTGACTGATTGGACAGGTTAATCTTCATAATTTTTTCTAATATCATTATCATAATTTAATCAATAAGTTAAAAGAAATATTATAATTTTTTATTTAATATTTAAAAAAAATGTAAACATCTTTTTGTAATTATTTGTTGATGATTCTAAAATCATCAATTATTTTATTGTGATTGTGATTTATTTGAGGTCTATTAAATGACAAATCAAACATAAAATGAGTTAAAATGTACGGAGTGTATATTCAAAAATATGATGTCTCTATCACCTTAGATCGTCATATTGCGAGGTCAAGAGAGTCATGGTTCCTTACGGGAGGTCCTAGAGGCAACGTCTTTACTGGGGTCTAAGGAACAACGCCTCTATTGGTGATTTACTTATGAAAAGGTTCATTTAGGAATTATAACCGCATGTAATGGTCAACCTCTCATATAAATATGTAAACAATGAATTCGGGTGTATATAACGACTCGATCTTACGACCTTCGAGATAAGAGTTTTCATTCTGACTTATTCAAGTACGAAGGGAAGAATTACTATTTTAGGAAAGCGAACATATACATGCATCTAGTTTTGCATACTATCACAACCACTCCATCTCTAACATTATTCATATACATACCTATATGCTACGATACAATCTATTTTTGCATCCATTTTTTAGAATACGAATTATCGTAAAAATTTAAACACCATAATTTTTTTTTTTTTTGATTAACCTGGATATCCAACCCGCTATGCGAGTCGACTAATACCATGGCGACCACCTGCTTTGCAGATAGCCCGGAGTCACCTCATTTGAACATCTGTAGCCACAAGAGGATTTTTATTCCTCCTTGGATTCAAATCTTAGACCTCCTTACATTTTTTATCTTTGAAACCAAACTCAAACCAATCAGATACAAGAGTAATTAACATCATAAATTTATTATTAGAGTTTAAATTACAGTAATTCACATAAAACACAGTAGCTTTAACTTATTGAACCGATTTGTTCTAGAAACAATGTATTTAATATTTTTAAACTAAAAATAAATAAATAATCAATTAAGGCGTGGAATTGAATATTATATATGAAGGTCGATGTTAATTGTAGTCGTGGGCATCTCACAGTGATCTGATAGTGATCGTTGTAATTAATTTTCAACCTAATCACTCTCTCATTGAAGTTAGTGCTGTGATTTTCCTTTTCATTTTTTTATGAGTCGGCTTTTGATTAAATAATATTAATCCATACATTTATTTCAAATTCTATTTTACTTTAAAAATATTAAAAAAAACATTCTTTTTATTAAATTGGATATTCAAGTTGTTATACGAACCGACTAATTACAAAATGACTATTCGCGAATCTAGTTGCCGCATTTGAACCTACGTGACCACAAAAGCATTTTTATTTAAAAAAATTGGCATTTGAAAAATATTTTTTTTATATCAGTTGTTGTGGATTTTTTATTCAACAATGTATAAAAGGTGTTACAAAAGATTGACGTTTTTAGGTGTCTTAACAAGTTTTTAGGACACATTTGAACTTTCATGACCACAAGAGCCTTTTTGTTTAAAAAATTCGCATTTGAAAAACATTTGGCATTCTTTCTAATAAACCCTTGACTCCATTTGTGCTGAATGTTGGGTTTGAAGTAGAAGCAGATGAGAAAACGAAGGATATGTTTTAAAAGTGTTATGTAAATTTCTTTGCATTAATTTTATATTCATGATCACAACTGTTTTAATCTTTTGTCATAGAAGTAGTTGGGGTAAAAGAAACAACCCTTGACCGGTTCTTTGACTTGGCGGAGATTTTCCAGGCTCTAATTGGGTCTTGAACGAAGAGATTTGATGGACCACCTAACCAAACTTATCAAGCGTCAAAAGATCCCTTGAAGATTCAAGATTGTCTAATTACAAAATCAAGCTGAAAATTCTTGCAAGAGCATTCATAGTTCAAGAACTTATCAAGATTGTGAGCATGATCTTGTGCGATCTAGATTCATTTGGTTCTTAACTTCCTAACTAACGGGTCAATGATTGCTCTAGGTTAGTTGAATAATCCTATATCTGGGATATTCGTTGCTTAATCTATCTCATACGAAGGTTTCAAATTAATTAACTTGCAGGTCAAAGTTTTTGTATCAGGATTTTTGGTTAATCTAAGACTAGTTTTTGGGCTTTATTTGTGTTTTTTTTAACCAGTTAGATACAGGCTGTATGTTCAAAATTTAAGACCAAAACGGGCTTTCATTTATAACCGGTCCTTGAGCCGAGCTTTTTTTAACCGATCTTTTTTAAGACCGGTCATCGTTTTTAATAAATCCAAAATCAGTTATCACAAACTAATAAGTTCTCTCTTAAATGGACCCCTGTATATATACATATATATACATAGACGTGAGTTATTATACAACCCTTTACATTTGTACAACCAATACAACTCAATCTCAACCGTTCATTTAATTTGATGAATATATGATTTCTTAAAAGTTTTGATTTTTTCCTAATATAAAGTATTGATCATAATTAATGAACTTTATTCATCTTCCATAAATATTCAAATCATAATAAATGAACTCTCATCATTTCCATAAATATCTCAATTGATTGGATTACATTGGTTGTACAAATGAACATGATTGCATTTGAAATATACCCTATATACATATACATATATATAGACAAAATAATATTTTGGTTGTTGTAAATCATTTAGCTGTCTATATATCTAGTTCCTAATGAGACCTATTCTTGATATTTTATAGGTCATGGATGAGATATAAAAAAGAACCCTTGATAAGTACGAAAAAAAATCTTTAACATATCTTTTTTTAACATCAGAAATAACATTGAATTTCAAGAAAATACTAATAATTCATTTAAAACTGTTTCTCGGAGTACTTTTACATGCAAAATTAATCAATAATTATTTATAAATTAATATTATCTACCATATTCTTTTTATATAGCATCGTCAATTCGTTCAACCGTCAAAAACTTTATATAAAGTACCTTTATCATATAGATAAACAACATTTTGGTTCACAATGTTGAATATTCAAAGTACAACTCTATGTAAATCAATATAAATTAATTAGGTTTCCAGTCCACCTTAGGTTAATGTTTTTCATCAGCGTTTCAAAATTTTAGGGTTAAAATAAACTTTTCGGAACCATCAATCTAACACTACTACAAAACTGGTCATTTCCGGCGGACGGTTTTCGCCGGTAATATTTCGGCGGATTTTCGTGAGACTTTAAAAAAGTCAACTTTTATTGACTTCGGACGGAAATCCGCCGGAAAAATTAGACTGATTGTATTTCCGGCAGATTTTCGGCGGATTTCTTAATTAATTATATTAGACTTGCATTTTAATTTAATCAAAATAATTTCTAGCGGTTTCTGGCGAAAAATTAATTAATCTTGTAAAAAATAATTAATCTTTTGAAATTAAAAACCGGATTTAACATTTTCCAGCGAATTTCGGACAGAAAATTAATAAAACTTTTTAAAAAATAAATCCGTCGGAAATGTTTTTGAAATTAACATTTTTAAAAATTAAAAATTAAATCTTTTAACATTTTCCGGCGGATTTTTGACGGCAAATTAGTTAATCTTTTTAAAAAATAGATCCGCTGGAAATATTTTCGAAATTAACATTTTTAAAAATTAAAAATCAAATCTTTTAAAATATTCCGACGGATTTGTTTTTTAATTTTTTTAAAAAATAGATCCGCCGGAAAATGTTAAAAAAAAAATCATTTTTAAAAGTTTCCGGCGGATTTCCGACGGATATCTTGTTCTTGTTTTAGAGATTGTAGGGTATTTCAGATTCATGTACTCAATATTAGGTAATAAGAAGTCCATAACGTATGAAAAAACAAGTATATGAAATTCTAAATATAGATATAAGTTGAACCTTATCATATGGTTGGTAACTTGTTTCTCAAATGTAGATGTCTTTTTAGTTAATAACATGAAATCTACAATATTCTAAAGCAAAAATAGATCTCATGCAGATGGAATAATCAAAAAAGTCAATGACAGATGAATGATAGAGAACATATCAATTTTTACATATTCTCTTTTTTAATATAATTAATTAATAAATATTTGAGCTTTTAATATAATAAGAAATTCCTTTTATATCATATC